CACCACCACCACCACCACCTTAGATTCTAAGATGCGTCATTGCCATCATTGCTTGCATGGTTTCCAAGCATGTACTACTTCTCCTATGGCGGCTGCAAACTTACAGTATCTGCAGCCCTTGAAGAGCATCCAGCGCAGTGATTTTGCAATGTCTGCGGCTTTCCCAGAGCTCCCAATACAATGCAATGCTGTACTTAGTACTTCAAAGCACTTGCAACTTACTCTTTCTGCGGCCTTCCAGCTTTGAAAGCACGGTAGCTTACATCTTTTTGACATTATAGCGCAAAAGCCTAGCAATGTTCCAAGAATCCCGGCGATCCATTGTTTCTCAGCAATTAACCTGCAAATCGAGCACACATTGCGATGCCAATGCAAATTCCAGAGTCCAGAGCGGCATCGAGGCCGTGACCTCACAACAGGCGCTCTGGGAGCAAGGAGGCCTTGCCCTTTTCGCACCCACGAGTTTGGGACAGATGTGTGACCGATGGATGCTGTAGCCAGCCACCAGGACGCATCTTCTGCCATTTGGTCAGTCAGCGAGGTTCGCCACATGTGCCTGCATGTAAAGCTCGGCAGAGACTAGCTTTCAGAGTTGTCATGCAGGCTGCATGTCTCCAGGGAGACGTCGGACAGGCCCGCGCCCACGCCGGCCGGAGACCCTGAACATTCAGCGCTAGACATGCCCATCATCACCCTAAACCTATTTGTGATGTGAGCAGTTGCAAACACTCGTTATGAAATGGCACGAGGCCTCCATGGCTCCGACGGCCCTTCTGGAACAGCTGCGACAGGCCCCGCTTTGCATTTGAGTCTGTCGGAGTTGCTGCAAGGTGTAGCTGGCTTTAGCTGGACCTGTGCTACTCAGAGTCTCAGAGACTCATCATGTGAGGCGTTGGCAGCAGAGAAGCGATCGAAGGCTTTGGCTGTGGAGGCGGATTTGCCTGGTGATGACCTTGCGGGCTCCATCATGCACAGACCACGCAGGGCTTCGAAAGCGAGATGAAGGACCATCCCTTCATTTGGCGAGGCGTGCTGGTGTGGCGTGACGCCTTTGTTGCTTGACAGATCAAGTTGGACATGCTACACTCGCAGCTGCACGACGAGTTGGAGGCGAACAGCGCCCGCATCTTGAAAAGAGGGATTCTCCTTCTGTCTTGTGAAAGCGGACATGCCGACGGGTGCTGAGGCTTCGTGGCAAGTCGAACTGCAAATGGAGCGACATGCGCAAGAAGCGCGTGTCGAAGGCCTGGTATCACATCATCACACCACATGGTCCCATAATGAATGGCGGCTAAAGTCCCATTTTTGCAGCCAATTTCTTGTGCACAAGCAGGGGTGTGGTCCATGAACAGCATGTACTCGTAGAGAAGAAGCGGTTAGCTTGTGCTGCCAGTCGCCCGCCCCTCCTTCACCCCACACAGGCTGGAAGGCACAGTCCAGCCGGTATGAAGCTGAGGCAGAACCTAGTGGTCAACATGCTGGATTGTAGGCGCCATGTGCCAGCCAGGTACATGTCATGCACAACTTGGAGGCACCAAAGCTGCAGAGAATGGATGACACAAGCAAATAAAGATGGATAAACCTGCAGCCCACTCAACTTAACATGCTAGTGCTGCAGCACGCAATGCTGCCAATTTCATGCAGCGATGGGCCGAGAGCTATCACGTCATATCATACCCAAGATCTTGAAAGCCTTTCGATGTCATGGGGTTGGGAACAGCTTGGCGTTTTTGCAGAATCAAGGACTGTCCTGATTCGGTTGCTTTGCAGCTAAGCTTCTGTCAGATCTACCGCACAGGCTTGCAGGCTGAGTTCCATCACAACGTTTGGTGGAATCTGGAAGCAGCAGCAGAAGACCATCTATGAATTTCCGCGTTCTGAACATTGTCGGCTTGCAGGCTGAAGCCTATGCAGCAAGCTGCCGGAACGAGGTTCTCCTTCACATGCGCTGATTCTCAGTTGCTGGAGACATCCGCATCCCGTTGTAGGACACCATCAGGGAGCTGCAAGAGACATTGCTGGAGAAAGAGGTTCTGGCTGTTCATGGGATAATGGTTGAGCTTTTTTTGGGGGCTCTCTGCAACTGAGGCGCAACTTCACAGGATGCAGACTGAGGCCCCTAAATGGGGTTTTGAAGCTAGTCAGAGCCCGCTCAGAGCCGGGTAGGCCCAGTCAGCGACAGAATCCAGCAGAGCTGGCTGCCCAGACGCCTTCATGCTCTGCGTTGCAACATGAACCTTTCCAAAAAGAATGGTTTTTTGAGGCTTGAGATTTGCACTCGATGCAGGCATGTGCCTTCCTAGAAGCAGAAGCTGTTCAAGGTGGCGCATTGCAAAAGCTTGCGGATGGCCTTTCATCTTTCGATAAATCAAAGAGGCAAGCGACACGAAGCACATGCCGCTGAGCTGCGGGCCAGCTTCCTCAGATACTGCGCATAGAATGCGATCCCAAAGCCCCTTGCTGTGTCGCAAAGTGAGGTGACTGTTGGAGTTCTGAAAGACCGCCTTGCGAGACAGGATCAGGCCCGGCCTCAATGCCTGCGGCATGACTCTGTGACGATGCCAGATCAGGTCATAGCGCGTCTCCGCAGCCATGCATCTTTGGGTGCTTCCGAATCATCCCAGGAATGTACTGTATGCCAGCGCTATTCAGAGTTGGCTCAGTTTCCGGAACGCAGTTGCTTACATTGAAGCAGCCTGTGGATGATTTCAATCAGTTGCAGGACACCGCACCTGGCGTACCACGTCCTCCTGTCTCTGCACCCTTCGACTCCTCTCAAGGACTTGCTGTTCTGTGAGTTTGTGAACGTGAAAATTACTTGAATCAGGACGACCTGGTGGTGCGCTTCGAGGCCTGGGGTGGGCAGCGGGCTCCCCTCAAGCTTGCATCACTCCAGATTTGCCGTTGTTCAGAAGGCCTTGCAAAAGGCGTCCGATCCGGGTACGTGTCCTGGCTGCAGGTTGGGGTTTTGACCCGCGGCAACGGGTGAAAGCACGAAAGGGGCATGCCAACACCATAGCCAGCATGAGGCAGCGATTCTGTGATATCATTGATCAATCAAGGTGGCAAAGACACCCATGCCTTTGACGCCAGTATCGGAGGCATTTGCAAGGGATCCTCAGGGCCAACGCCCATGAATGTTGACGCGTGGACTTCGCTCCATGTATGTTTTGTTCGAGAAAAACTCGCGAGAGGATGAACCCGATTATCCTCTTCCTCTCCATCCCGTTACCAGCGAGGCGAGCAGCGAGGCTGGCCTGTTGGCCTGTGCTTTGCTATATCAGCTGCAGTGCCAATCAAAGCGGCACCATGCTGCACCATGCAGGAGTTCTCGATGCACCCCGCCTTGAATGCTCTCGACCCAGTAGACTCCAGCCGTCCTTTCTTGTGACATTTCTCTGCCATCTATATGCCAAGGCAAGCCAATGCTCTACTTGGTCTGAGGCTGGGGCTGGCAGATTTGCTGATTGCAACTTGTGATTAGGCCTATATGGCTTGTGAGATGGGTCTGAGCAGAGGATGGTGTGTGCAATGGGCACCGGCCAGGGCATGTTCAAGAGTTTGCTGCACGTGCAGCCAATGCGGCTCCGCTGCGCGGATAACCCTACCGCCAGCCAGACACTAGATCAGTAAGAAAAAGAATCTTGCATGCCATCACTTCAACCAGCTGTTTTGAGCACCCAACAGCAGCCACCACTTCAACGCAAAGACGCACATGATTCGTAAAATTGCAGCTAGACAGGAGCACAACAGGAGGCACATGTTTTGCCGCCCTCGTTTCCACGATGTGCTTCCAACAGGCGCTGCTTGTGAGTTTGCAGGATTTTTCGATATTGCTTGGAGAGATCAGAATGGGATACCAGCGTGACAGGCCTGCAGACGAAGCCTGTTGTGGTTGATTCCGGTGTTGGTCTTGCTGGCCTGAGCGAAGCGCATGTAAGATTTGCCTTCACCTGGAGTTTGCTGGATTCATCATCCGCAGACTAAAAGTATGGGCTGCGCCTTCGTTCCAGTATTCGGTTGTGATCGTGATCCGTAGCCAGGCAACAGATCAGATTGGTCATTGCCCAGACGAACAGGCACGTGTTTCTGGGAATGCAATGAGGCAGAGACATCTGTGTTCATGCAGGAAGCAGTGCTAGCTGAAGAAGCCGCTGCGCAACAAGTGCAGCTTCTGCAGAGGCAGTCCATTCGCCTCTTTCCCGGAAGGGAGCAGAGCAGCTGCAACAAGAAGCACGCGCGAGGTATCACCAACTTCGCCGGCCGTCGCCATGGTCACCTTTCCAGAAGGAGCGACAGGAATATATGGTCACGCCCCGGCCCCCCCCC